GTAGACACAGTACTGTGCTGTCCTCCCATTGTTCATTGATTTGCTCGAGCAGGCCCAGTAACGTCTCCATCATGAGACTTGTTGTTACTGTGTTTGGCATATCAAATACGTCACGGCGAGTTTGCCAGGCTTTGCCATGCGGGCGAGATACTCTTGGTAGCTTGCCAGGCTCTCCAAGAGGGGTGAAGGAATCGAACTTGGGTCAGCCTCGAGGGCCATGTGCAAGGAAAACGCCCTACCTGCTGTGCTATCGCTCCAGCCCGACAATAGAGACAAGGACCAGAAATATTCCTCCATAGTTAGAAGCCTACCTCATGATCTGGGGGAGAAGGCAGCTGGAATAGAGGGGATCACTAAGTCAATGATGGTTGGAGAAATCATTCAGGATGGAAGATGTGTGCTGAAAATACATAAAGGACCAGACGTAATAGCCTCGCAGTATCTGTATTGCACACCATAATGCCCAAAAGTAGAGAGAGAGTATGGGAAAAATTGTTTGCCCACTTAGGCAGGGGAGGTTGGGATGGGGGAGGGAATACTGGGGACATTGGTGGTGGAGAATGTGCACTGGGGGAGGAATGGGTGTTCATCATTGTATGACTGAAACTCAAACATGAAAGTTTTGTAACTATATTTCACGGTGATTCAATAAAAAAGAAGAAAAAAGGTTCAATAAACTCCCCCTGCCTCCCTCCTGTAGCTCAGGTTGTATTTTCTATCACTTTCAATTAAAAGAATATAATCAGCATTCTGATCCGTAGTCAGACGCGTTATCCATTGCGCCACTGGCCCAATTGGGCTGGAGCGATAGCACAGCGGGTAGGGCGTTCGCCTTACACGCGGCCAACATGGCCGACCGGAGTTCAATTCCTCCGCCCCTCTCGGAGAGCCCGGCAAGCTACCGAGAGTATTCGATATGCCAGACACAGTAACAACAAAGTCTCCAATGGAGACGTTACTGGGCCCGCTCGAGCAAATCGACGATCAACGGGGGGGCCTTTACCTTTACCTTTACCTTAAATCAGCATTACTTCAGATTCAGATAAGGGCCCAAGGGGACAGCACCTGCTTTGAGGCGTGAAACCACAACGCTGGTTGTGATCCTGCAGCACCGTCAGGTATGACCCCCAGCGCCACAGGTCTGCATCTCTGAAACAACCGGGTGTGCCCCAGTGACACAACTAAAGTGTGCAAGCCCCAGTGAGCATCACGACCAAGGGTGGGGCCTCTATTCGCTGCAACAACAATGGAAAAAGGGGCAAGATTATTGAAAATAATGCGAGACAATAAATGAGATATCTTGCTCTAAAGAGAGAGACCCAAAACAATTTCTTCGCTTTTCTTACATTTATTTTTCCTCTTCCCTTCCCTTTGTTGTTGGCGGTGCTGTTGCAATGACCAGGGGCTGAACACAGCTGTGGCTATGGAGCTCACATACTCAGCTATGACAATTGTTTGGATACTCAACATACACACACACACACACACACACACACACACACATAAATGGGGACAAGGGATGCAGTTCAGTGTACAGGACTTGTCTTATATGGTTGAGACCATAAGTTTAATCTCAAGTCCCATTGGGGAGGTTGGAGTGGAGGAAGAAGACAGAAAGGGACATGAAAGATAGTATTCCCAATGAGCAATGAAACATAAATCAAAATATCAATGACATACGGCTTTACATTTTTCAGGATGTGTATCATCAAGAAAGGAAGAGTATGAGAAAAAAAAGAAAAGAAAAAAGAAAAATCCCTGCGCATTGTCAAGTGAAATGTAAATGTAAATTACAATAGCCACTGTGGAAAACCGAAGTTTACTCAAAAAATTAAAAGTAACTTTGGGGTCAGAAATAGTGCAGAGATAAAGGTGCTTGCCTTGCATGTAGCACTACAAACTTGGTTTGCATTCCTACCACCACATAAGGTCCCTCGAGCACCACTAAGAGTAGGGAGTCAAGTGTGACCCCTGAGCACCACAGACCCTGAGCACCACATCCTCCGCCCCCCCCCCAAAAAAAATGAGAGAAAAAAATTAAAAATAGCTTTCACTCAAATTCCACTTCCAGGTAAATAACAAAGGATCTGAAATCACTATCTTGAAGAGATGTGTGCAAAAGGGGAAGCAACAGTGAACGGGGGTCAAAGGGGTACATTGGTGCTGTAAAGCCAAATATTCAAGCCACAGACTCAACAACACTGAAAATAAGAGATCCAAACTTCAAGCACTAAACTAAAAAATGTGCCTGTCAAGGTGACAGGCTGGGGATGGGAGTGTGTGTGTGTGTGTGTGTGTGTGTGTGTGTGTGTGTGTGTGTCCTGGTCGCACTCTTCTGGGAGCAGAATTTTATAGTCTCTGGGTCTTGGCCATTGATGGGATTACACGGCACCAGGGGCAGTTGGTGGGTGTAACGTCTACATACTGGAAGATAGGGAATCTGGGTGGAGGGCAGTTGGTTGGTGTATGTGTGTTGGGGGGTCAAAGAAAGGGTAATAGGCGGGAACCTGCAAACCCACGTGGAGGGAAGAGATACTAGTGGTGGAACTGGTGCTGGAACGTAGTGTGTCTAAGACCAACAATAATAACTTTGTAAATCATGGTGCTTTGATAAAATTTTTCCAAAAATAGAGATGTCTCCATTCCTATGTATCACTGTATCACTGTCATCCTGTTGTTCATCAATTGCCTCAAGCAGGCCCCAGTAATGTCTCCTTCGTCCTAGCCCTGAGATTTTTAAAAGTTCCACATTTGAGGCTCTTTCAGGGTCAGGAGAATGAGACACTTCATTATTACTGGTGTTTGGCATATTGAGCACACCACGGAGAGTTTGCCAGACTCTGCCGTGTGGGCAGGATACTTTTGGTAGCCTGCCAGGTTCTCCGGAATAAAAACTAGATAAAAAGATGTCGCATGGCTGCATTTACGGCCGTACTCTTCTGGGGGCAGGATTTTATAGTCTCTGGATCTTGGCCATTGATGGGATTACACGGCACCAGGGGCAGTTGGTGGGTGTAACGCCTACATACTGGAAGATGGGGGATCTGGGTGGAGGAGGCCCAGTCCCGATCCGAGCAGGCTTGGAGATCTACGCCCCGGATCCCGCACACCTGGGTTCCTTGGCCGGTTCCTTCATGCGTGAGGCTCATCTTAACCTGTGGAGAGTGGTCTTAAGCATGGCTGTGGCTGGAACCGGAGGTCTTCAGCTGCTGGGGCTCTGCTCAGGATGGAGAGGGAAACTCAACCCACACTCCTCCAAGGGACCCCTGTGAGGACAGCCAGGCATGGAGGGAGGAGAGTCTATGCTGTTCTCTTCCGGGAGCAGGGTTTTATAGTCTCTGGGTCTTGGGTCCTATGTATGATACTGTTACTTATAACATCTAAAATATGACACAACCTATGTGTACATAGTTGGATGGTTGAATGAAGAAGCTGTGATATGCATCAGCCCTGAAATAGCCCAAGGGTATGAAAGCACCTACCAGATGCAGAAACTGAGGATTACCTAAAAGAGGGTGGATCCACTCAGAAAAGGAGGAACTCAAAGAAAATACAAGAAGTCATGTGAAGATTATGGAAAAGATCATCAATAATCCAAGGTGCTTCCCTTTGACCTACCATAGCTACAAAGATTCAAGTGAGTCCGTTTGTGGAAAATCCTTCTGTAAAATCATCTCTATAAAGGCACACAGGATGAATTTTCTTAGAGATTGACCAGCTCACCGCACATCTCAGTCTGAAGAGTTCTCTCTTCTTGCTCTTTCTCTCTCTTCTTTCTTACTCTGCCCCACCCCACCATGTCTCTTTCCCTCCCTCCTTCTCTTCTCAAACTATTTTATTTAATTTAAAAAAAAAAAGAAAGAAAAGGAAATGTGGGGCCAAAACAATAGTATGGCTGACTCAGATCCACAACACCCCAAATGAACCCCCCAACCCTACCAGGAATGATCCCTGAGTGCAGAGCCAGGAATAAGCTCTGAACACTGCTGGGTGTGACCCCCCAAACCAAAACAAAAAAGAAAAAATGAAAATGCAATATGTGTATAGAGAGACAGGATGATCACAATATGTATTACATAAACTGTTTATATGTGCGTATCACATAGCGTGGCATGTATACATATATTTGGTCAAAAATATAAGGAGAAAGAAGAAAGGAGGAGGAGAGGAGGAAGAAGGGAAGAGGGTGAAAGAAGGAGACATAGCAGGAGGAGACATAGTAGGAGAAGACAATTCTCTGCAACGTGAATGAAGCTTGAAGGCATTTTGCTAAGTATTAAATAAATCAGATATAAGAACACAGAAACTATATGATCTCATCTAAATATTGGATTTAACCAAACTCATGAAATGTAATAGATTGGTGGAAGTAGCAGGGAGATGGGTAAAGATGGTCAAAAAGTATGAACTTTGGAACCAAGGAAGTAGTTAATAGACTAGAATTCATATTTGCCTGCGGGAGTTTTGGATTTGGCCTTTGGCACCTCTAAGAGTGACTCCCAAGAACTAAGCCAGTATACCCTGAGACTACAGGTATGGCACAAAAGCCAAAGATATTACAAAACAATTTGATAAATAAAACTTAAAAATTTTTAGGGACGGTTTATTCTTTAATTTTGTGGTGTGAGGGGCTACTGATCAATTTAAAACCCTATGGAAAAGCTTTCTGCTTGTCAGAGAGATCACTCAATTGGCTGAGTGCCTGTTCTGCATGCTGTCATTTCTTGGGGGGTAGCAGGGTGGGGGCACACCCAACAGTGCTAAGGCCTTATTCCTGGCTCTGCACTCAGGCATCACTCCGGGCAGGCTTGGGGGACAAATATGGGGGGCTGGGGATTGGACCTGGGTCAGCCGCGTAGAAGGCAAATGCCCTATCTGCTGTACCACACTCCAGCCCCAAGCTCTGCATACTGTAGGACCAGGTTTGACCCCTGTGCCACATATGGCTCTCCCAGGCACTGCCACCCAGTGTGACCCAAGAAAACTGGGGGAAAAAAGTTATCACTTGTTGGATTTTGGCTAAGATTAAGTGTAGAATCTGTTCTTATAAGTTTAACATTGCTACATCCTCTATCCAAGGATAATATATTAAATGGATTTTTGGAGCAGGGAAATGGAATAGGCGCTTGCTCCATTCACCTGACACATAGACCTGCATTACAGTACCTCCAGGAAAGGTTAAAAAAAAAAAGCTAAACTTCCAAAACTAGAAAACCAATGAAGCTATATTACCCAACAGATATTTCCTCATCAGTGGGTCTTGGATATTCACCTGGAATAAGCTGGATGGGTACAAAGAAGACAGAGCACTTAGAGAGCAGTCTGCTTGTGGTACCATGTCCCTTGGAGGAGGGAATTAGCCCTGACATTTAGTTCCATCAGGAAAGCAAATGCAGGTTCAAGACAGTGTCAGAATTATGGGCATTTGATCTCAAAAGTGCAAATTCACACCTGGGTGGAGAGATTACACTTAGGATTCAAGCAGATCCCACATAATTACAAAGTGATTCACAAAATATTAATCCACATTACAAAGGCTTAAGTATACAATTCAATTGGCCATAAGTGGGGGGGAAAGGAGATGAACCACTGAGACAAGACTCCAGACTCAGGAGCCTGGTATTCTGGCAAAAACAGAATCATCTGATGAGTTCTCAACTGGCACTTTTTACAGAGGAAGGACATCATTATAGAGCAAAAGTCCCCAGCAGTAGCTTTTGCTAAAACCTAGAGAGCTTTGAGACTGTGGTTCTGAGTCCAAGTCATCTCAGTTGGATTTCATTCAACTCAGCATCTCTGTTTATATTCATTTCAGAGGCATGTTCTCAGGGTCATGTTAATTTTAATTTAGGTTGTCTCTCATCATGTCCAGGTTTTTCTTGGCTCTTCCCCTTTTATATCAGTATCTTATAAACAAGTACTGAAGTCATTCTATCCTGATTGCTCCCACACTTTGATCAGTCAGGGTCATTTGCAATGTCAATACATTTAACAGAAGGAAACCTCCTAATGATCAGAACTGTCTGAAAACCAAAGGCACAGTCTTGGAAGAAGCTGACATGACGGACAGCAAAGCAATTAGGTGACAAAGTGGAACTAATTACTACCACTCCTTTCAACTTTGAGAATTTTGTAAAATAAGATGTTTTACATTGAGTTACGGTGCCTCCAAAATTTAAATGCTGGGAAAGGAGACACTCTGGAACTATTTCTGGTACAATATCTGATTCACTTATGGACAGTGGAAATTACCCAACCTGTTTTAACAAATGCCAGATCAAACACAAGACAACTGAGTCAGTCAGGATAGTCCCTTAGGGTTTCTGAGTATAAGTGTACAGAAACTAATTTAAATGAAATCAGTTGGCTAGAAAGAGAATGTACGTGCATGCTTAGATCACCTAACTATCAGGTCCAAGAAGCCTTGCTTGTCCCATGGGAAGTGATATTGTTCCTATGTTATCAGAACTAAGGGAAGTTCTCCCACGGTTATCCAGGGGCTCATTAGATATTAGATGGATTTGGGCAAGTACATGAAGGTGTCAATACTAGCACACTCTCCACTTTTCTGCTTGCATTTGACTGAACCCATTTACTTGTTGGAATAACTGACAGCTTTTGTTTGAAGCAAACAGATTCTAGGATCAATCTGGCATGGAGTCTCAAACAGAGTTAACCATCTAGAGAATGGTTGCTTTCCTCAGGTTTCTTTATGGATTGTAAGCCTGTCACATTTCACTGGTTTCATGAGCATCAGCTACAAGCCACACTAAAAATTAATTAACAAAGCGGAATCACCACTGCAAATTATAGGACCTGGGGAGTCTAGAATCATGGGGGTAATGTCTGCCATGGAACTGGCTGGCTGGGAAAGACAGGAGGAGGGCCTGATCATAAGAGGATGATTAATCAAATTTCCCCCAAACAACCCTTCCATGGTATATGCATAGTAAAAGAAAAAGGGCTTCGAGGCATAGTCACAGGGAAGCACAACTCCAAACAAGGTGATAAAACTGTCGAAACTGGGGAGAGAGGCTAATCAGATTGATTAGAAATAGAGCAGCTAATTTTAAACACATGAAAATTTTATAGGGAAGAGCTTCAGCTGCAGACATTGACAGGGCCTAACAAACCCTTGTTATTCCAATTTAAAGGGCACTGGTGGGAGACACAAACGAGGGGAGATGGCAATGATCACAAGGGTCACGTCTGTGTGCTGTGCTCGGCGCTGCTCTCTGGCAACACATCTTGCCTATCCCTGGCTTAGGAGGTAGCATGTCGCTGCGTAAATCACATGGTACCTCTCTCCCCCAGGCTAAGAGGGTCCAAACAATGGCCAAACCTTTGCTAGCAAGAGGATCCCTCACCGCCTCTCAGATTACAGCAGGGGATGGGAGGATTCTGCACCAGCCTAAACTTCACTCCTGCCATTTGGGAAGAACCCTTCTGTGTAGCCTGAGGAGGCAGAAAGGAAGCCAAGGCATGCAGAAGTTCCCAAGGCATTCAGAGCTCCAGAGCCCGCCCGTTCCCAAGCTGATTTTGTGCCTGCCCTTTCTACAGTTAGCTGTCTGGAACAAAGCATTCTTTTTTGGTTTATTTAATAGTGGGTTTCTGTCACTTGAAAAAGACCTAATGTCTATCATATGTGTAACCAGGTTATTGACAAGACACAGCACTTTGGGGGAAAAACATGTAAAGTAATATTTTCAAATGATTGCCTCAAGCTGTAGTACACTTATCTTTTTGAAGATACTCACAAATTAAATGCCTTTCAATTTTATGGGGATCAGTGAATGTCCTCTCTGCAAAGTGCCAGATAGTGAATGGTTTTCAGCTCTGTAGTCTCATGTGATCAGTATTGGTCATTTTTGTTTATTTTGCAATCCTCGAAAAATTGTGGGCTGGCGTTGGCATTGTCCCATGGGCTATTAAAACTGGTCAGTTTTGCACTTCAGTCTGATGGTTGGGAGAAACACGTGCACCGGACTACCAGATTTATGAGCAAAGTCAGTAGCTAGTCACACAAACAACTAAAGCCAAGGTGTCACTAGAGTCAGAATTAGGATGAAGCAAGAAAACTCAGCACAGGACAACATATATGGAGTCTCAGACACCATCACTGTATTAAACAATGTGAGGCTCTCCATGTGTGTACCACAGCCACATCTCCGTCAACTTATCAAGCCCTGATAACCATTATCATGCCCTGATAACCACCATAAAAATGCTGTCCAAAAGAGGGGATTTAGACAGCTTGTGGCTTATTTTTTGCTATAATATTTTGTTGCTTCCTCACAAAGTCCTTAGTCCTGGCTTCTCCTTGAAGAAACCATACTCTGCATACTTTTTTGATGTCAGCCCATGAAACCACACAAGAGAAACCAACACAGAAAATGCAGAGACTCAAGCTTTATTGTGCTGTAATAAAAACTATGTTATCTGTGGCCCAGGAGTCTAATGTCTTTGCCAGGAGACATAAAATGATTTCAAGCTACCTTGTTAGCCTGCAGTAAACTCAGACACTTCATAGTTCACAAACTCATACCTAATGCCAAAATACTGTGCTTATTTTTACTCCTATGGTCATCTCAATCATGGACTGGTGATAACTTTAGGATCTGCACCTGTTTTGTCTATTATGGGGTGGGGTGGGGGCAAAACAAACAAACAAAACTCCCCTTCAGGCTTGAATTGGGGGCCAGGAGGAAGATTTAGCATAGTTGAGCCAGGGATAGTACATTTGTCTTGCATATGGCAGGTTTTAGTTTGATCCTGGCACCAACTGAGCAGTACCAGGAGTAGTACCTGAGCACAGAGTCAAGATTAAGCCTTGAACACAACCAGGTGTGACCCTTTTACCCCCCAAATGAAACTGCCTGTCTGATGGTGGTGGTGGAGGTTTGAAGCATTCCTCAATTCTTTTTTTGGTTCTGTCCGATGCTGGTGATATCAAACAGACTATGTGCATGTTCTGGGGTACTGTCAGTTTCACCCCAACTCCTTCAGTTGCTGAGAAGACTCGTCCTTTCTGACCCAGACAATAATATATATTCCCACATCTCTCTTGAGATAGGTTTTCTTTTCTTTTTTTCTTTTTTTATTAGTGAAACACCATGAGGTACAGTTATAGGCTTACAAATTTTGTGCTTGGGTTTCAGTTATACAATGATTGTTTTCTGACTTGATCTGGGAAACTGTGCAGTTCCTTTTAACTTCCAAGTTCCTCCCAATAGAAACTCTGAGTTAACTTCATCACCTCTGGGCATGTGGAAACTTAAAACAGGGAGGCAATTATCAGATTTATGCCTGGCATTGCACCCAGGAATTACCCTGAGTAGTGCTTGAGGGACCACACGAGATGCCAGGGATTGAACCTGGGTCAGCTGTGTGCAAGGCAAATGCCCTACCCATTAACTCTTCAGCCTCTACATCTTCAACATGTCGAGATCTGCTAATATTGTATAATGTATTTTGAAGGTATTTTCAAAGATTATTTTGACTCTGATATATATTTTTCTTCCATGCTTAAGTTGCAACTTCACTCTAAGTTTGTACCCTTCTCATTTTGTTTCACTATCATTGCAATCACCTATCATTCTATCACCTATGATTACATCATTCGCATCAAATCATCTATCATTTCACTATCATTGCAATCATAGAATGGTATGGGACCCCCAGAAGGACTGGTTAACAAAATTGCTATGCAGGCCCAGTTTCAGATTCAAATCACCATTTGGGTGTCTGAGAATTTGCATTGCATAGACACAAATCTCAAATATTATCAGTACTGTTAATCTGATCATTACACTTAGAGAGTGTGGACTGGAGCGATAGCACAGCAGGTAGGACATTTACCTTGCACATGGCCGACCGAGGCGACCTGGGTTCGAGTTCTCCGCCCCTCTCGGAGAGCCTGGCAAGCTACTGAGAATATCTCGCGCGTAAGGCAAAGCCTGGCAAGTTCCCCATGACTATTCCATATGCCAAACATAGTAAAAAGTCTCACAATGGAGACGTTATTGGGCCCGCTCGAGCAAATGGAACAACGGGAGGACAGTGCTACAGTGCTACACTTTGAGAACCACTTCATCAGGTTTCATCTTCTAGATCTGAGAAAAAAGTGCGGCCTGTCTAACCTATCATTTTTTTGTTGTAGCTTTGTTTTGTTCTTGTTCTGTTTTTGTT